GATCTAATACGGAAGAAGGTACCATTTCGAATCCTAGAAAGAGAAGCCGAGTTCTGATTAGAGGAAGTCAGGTCAGTGTCTCCTATTCGTTGACGCTAATAACTCTTGCACTTTATTAGCAGTCAAGTGAAAATTGAAAACTCGATCGACGCCTAACAATGGTCCTTCCTCATTATCCGGAAATTGAGCTCGCGAACAAGCTCCAATAACGGAAATTTCATTTTTCCCCTACGACTCCGAAGATCGCCGATTTAGCCACCCGAATCCATTTTTGCCCGTTCCTCCGGGAGTCGGCTCCTAGAGTTATTTTCATTATTCGCGATCAGTCCCCAAATACTTATTGGTAAACGTGCGGTATTATTGGCAATTTCCCCCTATCGATCCCGTTCCGGATTAGAGCGACCGCTAGATAAAATAACCAGATAACGTTTCCAGGATGTTATCTATGTTCCTAGTGGGGCAGTTCCGCAACAAACAATCGGGAATCATGGGACACCGGCGTTAACGGACGCTCGCCCATGATGGGTTAGTGCGTGGAACAGGTCGAACGTGGACGTGGAGTGTCAGTGCGATGATGGTACGAAACGATCTGTAATTACCATCAATCTGGCCTCTCCGGAGAGCTGCTCGCCTCCCTCGCCCCCCGAATCCCCCCCCTCCAGGAAGGCCTCGACGCAGAGAGGCTCCTTGTCCAGGTCCTCTTTGGGCAACTGTTCCAGCCCGTCGCTGCTGATGGCTTCCCCGCAGCCAGAACACCCTTCTTTACCGCGAACCCTTTCCACCTCGGTCCTGAGGATTAAGCACAGGACCTCTTTCTGGGACAAGTTCTGGCACGAAAGGACCAGAAGGGACTTGTAAGTTTGACCAAAAAACAAAACGGATCGATTTAAAACCGTACGACTTTTGATGACGATGTTTTTGCAGTATTCCGCTTTTTTGTTTAACCCAGCTAACGTTTGAATTTTCTTGAATGACTCACCGGGGAAGGTGTTGCTTCCTCAACGTGGTGGGACCAAAACTGAAACAAAAAATTTTGTCAAAAATGGACCTTCCAAAACGGTATCGCCATGAGATACATCAGTTCTTTTGAATTTCGGTAGTTAGGTGTCGTCGAAGCGAGCTTGTTGACGAACGCTTCGTAGTTGTTCCGCGGCGGCAGCCGACGACTGACAGGCAGCAAATAGGCAGCCCAACACACGTCACTGTGTTAATTACAGGTCTCTGTAAAGTTCGTGGTCGTTTTGTTGGTTGCCTACACGCGAATTATGTTTGTATGTTCAATCAGCGTTGGCGTCGCGTTGACGTAAGAACGCGCCACCGTTTCGAAAACGATAGATTAAAAGCCTTTTGTTTCATGACGGGAAGATAAATTGCGAACAGCGGGTCGCATCCGAATAAAAAGCGGAATGTGCAATAATTAAAATCAGCGAATTACGTGTATTCTGACGTCGGGAAATATCGTGTTGTTTTCTGTTTTTAAATTTTGTGCGTTATTTTGAGTGCACACTAAAAAAAAACACTATTATTGAGCTTTGTTTAGGCTTGAATGATACTTCTTTGGCTCAGAAGTTTGGTTTTTAAGATTAGAATTCGCACGGTGGCAGATGTTTCGGTTTATTTATATTCAGTTTCAGTACTTTGTAATGGCACTAAATAAAAGAAAACCTTGGAAGATTAAATTCCTGGTAAAATGAGAAAATACGGCTGCTGTGGAAAGGAAATTTCAATTCTCGCTCTCTGCTCTAGCGGATTCGTCTCGAATGCGATTACATAAATGTCACATATTTAAGAATTCTGTGGTTGGCGTAAAGCTGGTGAACTTGTATTCAACGGAAATTCTTGTTTCATCTTATGAGAAAGATGAGACGCTGTCAGGATGAAAAGTGCAGCCGTAAAAGCGACGGTGACCGTGCGTTCCCCAGCTCGAGAAAATAAGAAACGCATTGTGGCGTTTCCTGCTGTATGGTTAATTATGTTCGCGTGGCTACGTAGAATTTACAAAAAATTCCAACAAACGCTGTTTCATTTAAGCAGAGAGCCGGTATCGTAGATCTCTGATACTGACACAAACACAATTAGATACATGAAGGACTATTTCAGAAAAGGTCGAGGGGCTAGAACAAAATAAAACAGAGACGTGCCGAATCGATCGTAATACAATTCTTTGTCAATCGAATATATTTTTCTATGCATTTTCCCTCTTCGCTCGCTGTATTATTACGATAAAAATAATACGCTGCTAGTGTCAGTCGCCGTTTCTATATACGATCCAAATAGCATAAAATAAACGAAACCCACGAAATAATTCCCAGGAAACAATCTACCCCGCCGGATTAAAGCAAAATTGAGTTTGATTAAACTTGAGTTAATTCGTTTGAAGATGACACAAACATGTGTTCCGAGAATCAAATGAGTTTTGCCGCGTTAATCGCGACTCACAGTTAACGCTAATGCGGATTAAGTTAACCGTGCTTCGACTTACCCACAATTAAAAACGTATGTCGCAAATAGAAAACAATATTATTTTAGAATCAACGTCAACGTAAAGTTAGACAAATACATAGTACTATCATTAGAACATCCAGTAAACAAGAAAATTTATAGACAAGAAAAGGTGCTAAGAATTAAATTTAGCTTATTCTGTGTCATCTAAAAAACAAACATTATGTTCTCACCGGAACTTCTACTCGCGGACGTCATCATTCCTCAAGCCAAAAATTTTGAGAATCCCGTAGCACTTATTCTCCGACAATCTCAATTGACTCATGGATATTTTAATGTCTCACGAGAGAAATTGCAAGCACGCAACCAAGGAGAGCTATATTGAGTAAGAGACAATGTCCTCTGAATGAATTCCCGCCGCATTTTTATCTCTAGAGTGCCAGCTGTCATCTGCGAAAAATCTCTCGCATGCGAAGGTCCTCTTTTATCATTACTTCTCGTATTTCTCCGCGACAATCTAAATAAAAAATAATGAGACACATCATGTCGCATCCGTAAAAAACGCCTGAAATTTCGAGGAGAAGCGTTCCGACAAAGCCACCGGCTAATTTTGAAATGAGCGCAAGTGCGATTAACATCCTGGTTCGACTTTGCTGCAAGAAAAACCCATTTTCGCGACGAGAATAGATTTTTCGGGAAAAAACCTCGATTGTTGCCAACGTGGTTCGAGGGAATATGAAAAATAGCATGCCGAGAATCGTCCCGTCTAGATGTAGGCTAAACTACCTAGAACGAAATAGCAGAAGTAGTTCGTATGACTACAAAGATGTGTTTTTTAAAGTGGTTAAATGATGGCGAAAAAGAAATTGGATCCAGAGTCGAGGAAATTACCACATTTTTGACTGTAACGAAAAAATTTTGAGTGACTTTGAGAACACTGCGGTCACTACAACGTTGGCAGAGCTCGAGTGACCGAAGGTGGCTGAGACGTCCGTCACGTATTTCTGATGAGTTTTGGATTGTTTCGTTCGCATGACACAGTTTTGGACGAAGGACGTGAGGGTGAAAGATGAGCGTGCCTTTAATATTCGGACAAGCAATTATAATCCTGTTGTCTTCGCTTCTGCTGGCGTTATTATCACAAGGCAAAATAAAATATCACTGATTTTTCAAGGGGCACAATGAGACCACAGAAACAGTATTTATTTGCTTTTCGTATTCGAGACGAACAGAAAAGTAGCAACCCGAGAATTCGTTGTAATAATTGCTAAATTGATTATCACTCGCTTCTCCCATTGTCTCGTGCTTGTCGATTTACTGCAAAAAATCTACGGCAAATTTATGGTGTATAAACAAAAGCGCGTCATTATCAGTTGTTCGTTAAAATTACAAGATCGGGAGCTTATTCCTACGTCGAAGCAAATAAAATTAATTAAACGTTGTTTTCGTTGGTGGCTCAAGTTTCAGGACGAGTTTTAAAAAATAACATCTTCTGGCAGGGTTTCGAGCTGGTAGTAGCGAGGAAGTCAACAAGACGATAATTAATAATTTGCATTTCTGGCAGGTTGCGGCCCGGTCGAAAATCGGGTTATTTAAATAAGAGAGAGGTGATGGAAAGCTCGTATGCGCTAGTAAAAGAGGAGATTTAACCGCATCGAAGAGGATTTGCGATTTTGTTCATCAAACTAAGCGGAACGAAACGACTACATTGTTACATTAGAGGCGACTTTATGGAAATTGCGCGTACCCTATTTCACAAACAAACTCACACAAACTATCATAATTGCTGTTCCTGGCAGCTATATTTTGAAATTTAAGATTAATTGCTTTCGAACGACCTATTAAAACGTATTACCTGTACGCAAAGCTCGCGGATAATAATTACAGGGATTGTTAAAACTAATAAGCGAGCAATCGATAAAGCTGTTATCTTAATTCGAAAAACCGATAGCAGCTCGTTAGAAAAAGCTCCTCGACCTCGCCCGGAACCGAGACCCGGACTTTTAATTACCGGCTAGGCGATCTCCATTGACGTACGCTCATTGATATTACGGCTGCCTCTATAAATGGCTCTATTCATATTCCGGGCGAGCTTCCACAGCGGCGTGCCCCGGAACTTTTGCTCTTTTTTCCGCAGGCTCTGTACCGTTCGTATCGGGCTATTACGTGCGTTTTGTTCGTTGACGACTCAAGAGCGTGGGCACGCTTCGCCCTTATTTTTTATTTTGTATTTTTTTTTTTTTAATTTTTTGTTTTTGACTTGCTCGTTTGTAATAAATAAACGAGACGAGCCGACTCTGAAGCGCTTTTCAGCTTGTTCGCTGAAACGGGCGGTTGTCATAGAAACGACTGCAGATTCAAAACAAGTACGGGGAAAAGGACCTCTCCACCACTACAGATATGTGATGGGGATGAATATTACATCTGCTCAAACTGAAATATGCCGAAGGAATTCGAACGAAGCGGGTTGGGTGGAATTAAATCGGATCGAAAAAAAAAGACGCTCCTCTTGCGTGAATAATTCTTTCCGCTCCCTTGTAATGTTGTTCTGTTTGCAGTCATGGAGAAGATCTTATTGTCACACCGTTCGCACAAGTTCTTGCCAGTTTGCGCAGCGTACGCAACAATTTCCAATGTCTTACCAACGTGCCCACCAACAAGTAAGTAACCGAAAGACAACAATCGATTTCTCGGTTTAACCGATTTATCAGTCCCGAATCTAAAAAAAAATGTGGTCGTTTCAGGTCTCGCCGTTCTTCAGGAGCAGCGACATCCGCCACCCCGCAACCAAGAAATCTCGCTCCTGGAGGTAACGTATCTTTCTTGCAACGAAAATATTTTTATTTATTTTGCATGACCCGAACGCGTGATATTACAATAAATTTTGCCTTTGACAATAAATTAGCGAACCGGATTTATCCGATTACTTTTTAGTCCCGATAACCGAATGGTAAATGTCGAGAAAAAATTCTTTGACGTCACGGGTGATGATCGGTCGAAAGCTTTGACCTCTGCAATTTATTATTGAACGAAAGAGCTCACCCCGATTTGTTTTATTTTCGCTTGAATAAATTGGACTAATGGCTCCCTAACAGGAACCCACTCGTTAAAATCGAAATAATAAATAAGAAAAAAAGGAACGGAAAGCAAATAACGAACTTTTCGAATTATAATAATGATTTCAGCACGTGGACGTCGATTACCATTTCGATGAGCAGCGGTGGGTGGTGAATGTGCGCCAACGATCATTTCCAAAATGGCAAAATCGGTTTGTTTATTGTTGCATGCAGTTTTTACTATCTTCCATAAGAGCTGACACATGTCGCTTTTCCTGGGATTAGTTATAACTTGATTAATGTTCGATTATGACTGGATCAATTTTCTTGGGAAATTCATTATGTAGTGATGAAAAATACGCTTTTCGTCGAAATCTGATTGCGTCGCGACAGGACGCTAATAATCAATTTTTGTTTTTTTGTTTGTTGCGATAAGCGTAATACTCCAGGTGCAGTAAACAAAAATATTTGTTTTATCGTAAGCTTTTCGATTCTTAACCGTGAAACCACGATCGCGTCAGAGTTTCACAATAAGGGATAACGCTCCATAAAATGTAATACTCACTTAAAGCAGACGCACTTTTTTAACGGGACCATAACATTTATTTCCTTTTTTCTCGTTAAGATGTAGGAATCACGAAATTATCAGTACCGAGAACTTTTTGTCGTTTACATTACCTCGACACTCGTTATTGTTACGTAAATATAGATATACTTTTTAATTTAATTGCCTACTGTTATCTATCTCCTCGTTTTGGCGTCTATGTGCATTTCGCACAACATATTTAAAGCTAAGAATTTAATCCTTTTATCCCTTTTAAGGATATGTGGATGATCCTACTAGTATAAAGCGCTTTTTGTATTAAATACCTAATCGGTGAACGGAGCCCACTATGTCAAAACATTCAGAAAAACTAGCATTGCGTACATGCCGAATATTAAAATGGGCACATTTTTAGATGAAGCATACATGAAAATGGCGATGGAAACAATGGAAGAGCTCGACTGGTGTCTGGATCAGCTCGAGACCATCCAAACCCATAGGTCCGTCTCCGACATGGCGTCGCTTAAGGTGAGTAATACACATCCCCATTTTTCTCCCAGCCTCCCAAGGTCGTTCGGCACGTGCCTCCACACCCTCCTGCGACTTCGACTTTATCCACTGTTGCGTCGGAAGCTCGTATACGATAAAATCTTTGTCGTGTTCCCTCAAGTGGTACTCGAGCGATAAAATTGACAATTGTTTTTAAAAAGTTGCTGCTGTAAAACGCAGGTTTTATTAATGCAACCGGTAGCCCACGCATACTTCCAAACACAAAGTACGATAAACAACAGATTTTGTTTTTGAGCTTTGGAACATAACAGGGATCCTCTCCAAATGCACACGAACGACTTGTTTATTTCGTTCCGACAGGTATTCGAACGGTTTTCGTGCTAATTACGAACGTTTTTCGTCGCTGAAGGTGAACTCTGGCAAATTCGGGTCGCGATACGAATTGGGGCGTAAGTGCGCGACAATGGCTGATGAATGCAAATATTTGTCATCCAAATCATAAAACGAAACAATCTAGAGCAGAATTTTAATGAAGTTAACTTCTGATTCGGTTCCGAGGAGAAGCGCAAAAGCTGCGAACGTGACCGGGTGCATGTAAAAATCTGTTTTCTTCTTTTTAGAATCATTCGTCACTTTAATTTTTGTAAAATGCGAACTTCCGGATTAAGTGCTCTACAGGAGGTTTATTGACTCGACGCGATCAAATTTTACGGCGTCCTTTGGATATTTCAGGTCGTTTTTTTTCCTCCACGTGGTCTAAATTGTACCTAATTAATCTTCAAAGTTTGTTTGGGAAGCCATGTTTGCATTATCCGGCGCCAATAGAGTCACCTCTGTTTCGAATTTTTTAGTTTTTGATTTATTTACACTGTTCGATCTCAAGCACCAGTTTATTGTGAGTGTAGTAGAGGTGCTGAAAATTTTGTTTGATTGCTTCCGAGAAAAATTTGGCTTGGAGTCAGCGCCGGTGTTCGTTGTAAACCCAATTTGATTTTAGAACAGTTTTCCCCTAAAATGATGTATAAATAAAACCGCAGACGCGAGAAATACGAAACAGCCGAATTACAATCAAACTTATTTCAGGCGATTTCTTATTTATTTGCGCGTTTGTACTTACGTCAATTTAGATATGCATTTTTTCGAAATTTTGATGCAGTAGTTGTTAGATCAATTATCTGATTCGAGAGGTTTCCGATAAACATTATAAATAAATACCCGATTGTCACACTTGCGGTTTTACTATCATGATCTGGTCCATAACTTCGCACATTAAAACCTCAGATTTATTCCAGTATTCCTGGATCTATTTCCAGCACTTTCTGTCAATATTTAGAAGTAATAACTCATTTTTGACGTAGAATAAGAAAAATTTTTCCGTTATGAGAGCGGCAACAGTCGTGCAAAATAGCGGAAACGATATTGATACGACAGTTTTTCAGTTTCAAGTTTGATTTGTTTCTTTGTTGACAAAATTTTACGAGCAGTCAGTTAAGAACGCGAAATATTCCTCAAGGCACCGTCACCTGGAGTGTTTTTATCTGAATCTCGCTAGAGTACGAAAGCGAAAAAAACCTTGCCGAATTAGCGCGATAATAAATCAGGAAAAAATAGTTTGAAGGTAGCGATAATCGAAATTATGCAATGATAGTAATAAACAAAGCGGCTGGCAGATGTTCAAGATCTATTTTGATTCTAGTGTCTTTTCGAAATTATCGACCTCAGCTCTTCAACAATCAGCCTCGATACACATTTTAAGGCCTTTAATTACGCTCAGATTGGCCGCATTCTCTCCGTTTGAAATTTTCTTTAAATTAATCATCGCTAGCTTAGTTAATCAATTTATGACCCATTCTCTCGGGAATCGAGTTTTTCCCTTTTTTCTTGCGATCTCATTAACACACTCGGTAAATATTAGCTGTAACATTTGCGGTGATTTATGAAAATTTATTGCTCCACGTGACAGAACTTAATGCAATTCTTCAACGTATTTTGAAAACTAGGTGTCTCATCTGATGATACTTACTTATCTAAATGCTCCCGCAAACAATAACATTTTCGCTCCTGAAATTTCAGCTTTCAGGTCAAAGTTTCACCAGTAGTTGTTATTCGCATTGTTTTCGTCTCGACACATAAATCTCGTAAATGAACTAGACTAGTCTTAATTGGTTTAAGGAGTTGTTGTGGCAAAATGGATTGCGTCGGATATGCAAATGAGCCGTACGAACACCATGATTAATTACAGCTCTAAGTTTTGTATATTTGAAGCATTGTTTCTGAGTCTATTTTTTAAACGAAAAAATAGAGTTATATTTCTTTCGGTGTCAAAATGTTTAGGCGCTTCATTCTTTCATCTTATTTTTGCGTATGCGATATCACAAAATATTTGCGTCCTTCCTACGACGCAAGGAATTTTCGTGGTGTTATTCAGCTTATTGTTGAAAAATACAACCGAAATAACAATAACTGATCCGACGGCGCTCAGTCTGGTGCGAATAGATATATCGGCACCTCTTCTGAGAATCGGTTGGGGTTATTGAGGTCACGATAAGGCCCACAGTATGCAGACCTTGACTTTTGCTCTGTCAATTGTAGCCCAAGAAGGAAGTATTTTTAGCTCACGGTGCAAACAGCCGTCGTGATCGGCCGGCATCTACTACATAAATATTTTATTATTGTTTATGTTTGTATAGTCGATTTGATACTTGATATTATATGTGTGACAAAAGTTTGGAGAAAAATAGAAATAAACGTTCAAAAACATAATAATAAATTAATCGGGACTGATAACAAAAATATGTCGTTGATTTTTTTCGTGAAAATTCAGTACCGGAACTCTGCGAAATCGCGCTGTAAACCGTTCGCGCCTCGCAACAAAATTTATCTTGGAAATCTGTTGATTTTATTAATAGCCATTGTTAACTTTCTCGTTTGTTGGTTCAGAACACAACTCAAAGAATTCGCTTGACGTTACGCTTCGCATCCACTCTAATCCGATCAAAGGAAAAGCCCCACGAAAATTACCGTCTGCTGAAAGAAAATAAAATACGTAATAATAGCCAGGTCCATAGTACGTGTAAATTTAAAAGTTCTACGAAGCCTCTCTCCTTGTACTCGATTAATTACGTGGATAAAGTACACAAATTGAATAACCGGGTTCCACAGCCATAAATTTCACAGTTTGTTCGATGACGGCATAGTTTATGCCCCAATTATTTTATTGTCGCTGTTTCCCTTTCTTCGAAAATAAAATTTCCCCTAGCTACTCGAATTCTATTTTCGGCATACAGTTTTCGTGTTGAATTTATGATTCACTGAAATTTCTACGTTTTTATAACGACAATGGTAACTCTAATTATTTGTCATTGTCACGGTTGTCCGTTTAATGATAATCGGGCGAAGATATTATAATAATTGGTTACGCCAAACTGCGATCGCCTTGGAAATTTCGCGGCGTTTTCATAATTGGACATTAAGGATTTTCCAATTAAAGATCCTAGAAAGCATCGTCACCCGACCACAAAACACACACAAAAAAACAGTAAAGTCAATGACGTCTAGAAGTCCAACAACCAATAATGGACAACAGTGAATCGATTTGAGGTAGTCCCTGCCGCTCCAACGTGCAAACGTAAAAAAATGAAAAGAGCAGCGACACGCGAGTCCGAAACCTGGAAGCATCTGAGCCAAATATAAATCGTAGTTTTTCGTTTATGGATGGGGCAAGAGTGACAAAAAACCTTGAATCCATAAAAATTAAATCAAGTTCGTTTTCCGGACAAAAATACCCTCGGCTGTTTACATCGAAACTAATCCGAGAAATGATTTCAAAGCTCGTCCAGTCTCAGAGCTTTGCCAAAGCTTTCTGAAAGCCGCATCCCTTGAAAACTAGTGCCGATCGGAAATCAAACTTTTTCACCCGACGCACAAGTCGAAGCTTTGAGCAAACGCGCCGAACAAACAGAGAATAGAGAGATCTATAATCTGATCTTTTTGATGCAGGACTCATCCGGATTAAAGCTCGTAAAGTTGTTTTCGCAAAAATCGGAAAATCGTCCGTGTGTGTTATTGATTCTTTCCCATCGAATTAACCGCGAAGTGATTAACCTTACATTTATAGTAAACAAAGAGTGGTCGAAATGTTATTTCAAAGAGCAGAAGCGGCCGTAAAAATGGTTTATTACAACTGCGGAGACCTCGGTTAATTTAAAAACGCGAAAAAATATTTACTGTTGTGATCTCTCGAGAAATCAGCGAATTCTGGTATTATGGGCAAACGTGTGACGTGTGTTGGCTGTCGTCACTAAATCGTTTTTTTCCCTCTACGGCTGATTCTATTGCCGAGACCTTGATTCGAGTTGATTAGACCGGAGTCATTGTTTCTGACGGAACAAATTTTTCTTTTTGCAGAGACGCGTCCGGGTTTTTTCCTTTCTTTCACATAAAGTCGACTTTCTCCATAATTAAGCCTCGCACACAAAGAAAGACGTTTCACTTTTGTCTCAGCCACGATTCTTGAGTTTCTATTTTCGTTTTTAAATAAATTGCGACTAAAGTAAATCGCGTCCGTCATACCCATATTGTGAAAATATACACTGTTCTCCAAACAAGTTGTCCGCTGCTAATTCATTCATTTCACTATGACGTGAGCGAAATTCGGATTATTTCAAACAAGATCCTTCCATTCATCCAAGGAAATTGCTCTAGCCCACGTAATTATGCCCAGTCGATCTCCAAACCTAAACCATTATTACATAACCGGAGGGACCTGTCTCTCCTTTTACGAAGTACAAATATTTGCGACGTTAAAGGAGGTCGATTTGCATCACAAACTCTTTTCAAAGAGCGGCCGGCTATTGCCTCAAATATTTACCCCAAATCGACGGGAGGTTGGTGTGCTTTCGTGCGATCTTCAACAGTTTCCATAAATATTGTGGGTCTTAATCCGAGGTGCAGGAAAATATACGTTATCAGTGCGTCATGGACGCGTCACCGTCATATTGTTTTGTATGCTCGACAAATATCAGCAGAGCCGAAAGTCTTTATTAAAAAATAATGACGATGTTAAATAATGAGGTCACCTAAAAATCCCTTTAGCTGTATGTACCAGGAGACGAAAAACATCCCTGGCGAAGTACTGTGCCGATGAATCAGCAGCACCTGACGCATATTTCGTCGAAAATGGCAAACGATTGTTTCGGCTAGGAAATCAAATTTGAAAGTCGCGCGGCGGTTAACCGTCGACTTTTCTTTTTGAGGATGTTTCCTCGTTTGCGTATTTCGAGGATGTCGTTAATGGATGCGACGATTCCGGGCACGAACCCCGCCGATCTGATGGTTCGGTGGTGAGAACAAAGGGTATGGTGAGGGCGGATTGACGTCATAGCGGCAACGTGAACGAATTATTAATCTTTACATCGAAATGAAGTAAGAGAGTCGATTGCACGTCCGCTGACATTGACGAGGTGTTAATGCCTCGCTAAGGCATTTCCTTCATTCATGAATACCACTAGCGAATAGTTACGCAATTGATGCTAAAAGAACGGAATTCGCATGCTTTGTTTAGTTCCGCATTCGGGACGACGTAAAAATCTCCACGCAATAAAAGACAAAGAAACACACAACGACGACTCGTCGAGCATGATGTGGTGCATACGACCGGTTACAGACGCACGAGATGCTCTTCGGTTGGTGTTAGCTTCCGGAATCAGGGTTATGTAACGTCGTTTAAACTCGACCTTTCCAATTAGGTGCGATCAAAACATATGACAGTGTTTTGACTCGCTTTGTTTGATTTGTCATTTAAAACTATAAAACTGCTAAAATCGCGTCAAATATAACGTTTGCGTGCAACTTAGAGACTACATCGTGCATCATAAATGGTATTTTTTTCCATTCTCAGAAATGTTCCGAGTGCTGTGGCTTCCTTAACTCAAATATTGACACTATTAGCAACTACTTTGCACCGCTAAATGTTAATTCTGAAACATCATACGAATATCTCTGTGTAAACCGTATTAACCCTGCCCCATGTGAGAAATTTGCGAGCATATCTCGAAGCCGAAACGAGAATCCATTGTCGCTCGTCCTTTCAGGTATCGATCTCGTGTCCTCCTCGTCGGTGAATGTTTTCCCAAAACCATAATCCATCATCGCAGCGCCGCTCAAAAACCCGTAAACATCGTCTTCATTCAATAATCTATCGACATGAAAAAAATATCGAGGCGTGGCCAGGAGCGACGATGGACGGTTTACACTTTTTTCCGCCAGTTTACGAAATTCCTCTCCGTATTTATGTCCGTCAAAACGCCAAGGCCTGGTTAATGTTCGATGTTTGATGTAAGAGGTATACCCGTCGACCTGCGTTGAACCTTTTCGAAATAATTATTCCATCGATCATAATTTAATCAGTGCTGACGCATGATCTTCTCCTCGCTTTTCCGCAGGGGGTAATTTATTCAACGCGTACCCTCTTCTTCTTTCTCTTTTTTTTTTAATAGAATTTGGAATGTCCACTCCCGTTCACTTGTCAACTTGTCGGTTAACTTTTCTCTCCGGGCAAGTCGTAACAATAAATTTCGTGTCGTAGTAATTACAATCTATCTATTATACCAGTAGTGACGTCACGCATAACCCAACATCAATTTTTTAGTAGCCGCTTATTTTTACCTCCAAGGTAGCCGTTTATAGGAAACGACGTCCCATTTCGATCGTTCAGAGTTTTTTTAAAGTTCTACGCACGAAACTCAATCGTCGCCAAATGTCCCTTAAACCCTAGAACTGTCCGCACGAGTGCCAAAACAAATCGCCCAAGGACGATCATCTCAACAAACAAAAACAAAACCCTAAATCGACAACTATTATTTTATCTCCGCCTTACTTGATAACCGCGATCTGTACAGTGTGACACACAGATATGAATCAACAATAGCGCGAACGCCGTAGAATGAGTTTTGCTCGGTGTACTCGGAAAACGTAGTCGGCGGCGTGAGCGAATAGTATTTAAGAAAACGCGTTCAAAGGTCGACTTCAGTCGCAAGTAAGCGGAAGGCGTGAGAAGTCGAGCTTTCGCATACAACCTGGTGAGCTTTGCGCGAAACCAACAGACAATCGAGTGCGTGGTGACCGTGGATTACTACGATGTTATCCTCGGATGAAAATCCGAAAGCCCGTAAAAGGGTGTTGCCGAAAGCGATCTCGCAGGACGAAGCCATAGCGGACAGGATACCGCCGAATTCTGACAAGCTTTTTGAAAATTTACCCTGGATGAACATCATGGCGGAGATTGCCATCACGGCGGCTATTGCCGAAATCAAGGTAATTAAGGGAGGGTGCGGCGAAAAGGGTGCTCGGATTCGTCGAGGTCGTTAACATCGGCCAAAAAGTTTGGAAAAGCTCTCCAGGGTCGTTGCACGTAGAGATCGTCAGGCGTCGGTGTTGCGCTAGGTGTTTTAGACTGGTTCGCGTCCGTACGTGTCGGGTAGTTGGATGTAGCGCCTCGTTCCGTCTTCGTAATCGCCATCAATTAAGAAATGATTCCGTCCGCTGATTGTCGACACGGTTCGCCGTCGTGATTCAAACAAATCCGTCTTGTTACTAATAACTGCTATCGGAACGGGTGCGAAGAAAAAAAATAACAAGATAGTAACCTACGTCAATAACACTTGCTGGAGGCATGTCTTCGCGTTATTTGCAATATCGGTCTTTATCGACAACAATTTATAAATAAACAAAGCCGCAACTCGGATAAAGCTCGAGCTCGCGTAAGCTCGATAAGTAAATTTTAATCGGGTTTAAAGCTTAAACTGTAATAAACTTATCGATTAGGATTAAACAAACCACTTTTTGATGTCCCCTTTTATGTTCGCAGGCCGTAATAATTTCAAGTACCTACGTTCTCTTCCATAATCTGGAAACGATAGCTAGCAAACAACTATACATAAATTAATTGCTTTGTTTATTCGCGGATTAAATTAACGAAATAATTACGTAAAGGCATTGTTCTCCGGCGGAGCGGCTTTAGATTTATTAAGGAGACTTGGAGGCATCGTGTGGGTGATCGCGTTTCTTTTTTCTTTTCGATTCGAAGCCGACGGACGTGCTGCCCCGAAATGCGCGGATTCGTGGCCTTTTTTGGGGCGAGGGCCGCCGAAAACGTTGTCAGTTTTTCGACGTTTCGCTTTTCTTTTATTAACGACGACGTCTTTCTTTTCTGTTACAGTTCAAACGGATGCTGAACAAGGAACTATCACACTTCTCCGAGTCCAGCAAGTCCGGAAATCAAATCTCGGAGTACATCTGTTCGACCTTTCTCGGTAAGTTCTTGTCCGCCCGATACGGACACGCCGTTTCATTATGGTTCTTCCTTCCTTCAGATAAACAGCAAGAGTTGGACATTCCGTCGCTCCGTGTCGATGAAGGCGCCGAACCCCCCACGAAGGGCGGCACGCAGCGGAAGGAGCGCCCCCGAGCGCCGTACAGCACCATGTCCCAGATATCGGGGGTGAATAGAAAGCCTTTGTGTCACACCAACTCGTTTACCGGCGAACGTTTGCCGCTGCACGGCGTCGAAACGCCCTACGAAGACGAGCTCGGCAGATCCCTGGCCGAGATAGATCGGTGGGGCATCGATATATTCCGAATCGGCGAACTCAGCAACGGACGACCCCTCACTTGCGTGGCTTATACGACTTTCTCGTCGCGGGAACTCCTCAAAACATTGATGATCCCGCCGAAGACGTTCATAACGTTCATGATGACGCTGGAAGATCACTACGTCAAGGACAATCCGTTTCACAACTCGTTGCACGCGGCCGACGTGACGCAGAGCACGCACGTGCTGTTGAACACGCCGGCTCTGGAGTCCGTCTTCACTCCGTTGGAAGTGACGGCGGCCCTCTTCGCCGCGTGCATCCACGACGTGGATCATCCCGGACTGACCAATCAGTTTCTTATCAATTCGAGTTCGGAGTTGGCGCTAATGTATAACGACGAGAGCGTTCTAGAGAACCACCACCTCGCGGTGGCGTTCAAGCTGCTGCAGAACGAGGGCTGCGATATTTTCATCAACATGAGCAAGAAGCAGCGCCAGACGTTGCGGAAGATGGTGATAGATATGGTGCTGAGCACCGACATGTCGAAACACATGAGTCTGCTGGCGGATCTAAAGACAATGGTCGAGACGAAGAAGGTGGCCGGTTCTGGTGTGCTGTTGCTGGACAACTACACGGACCGGATCCAAGTATTAGAGAATCTGGTGCACTGCGCCGACCTGAGCAACCCGACGAAGCCGTTGACGTTGTACAAGCGCTGGGTGGATCTGCTGATGGAGGAATTCTTTCAGCAGGGCGACAAAGAGCGCGAGGCCAAGATGGACATCAGCCCGATGTGTGACCGACACTCGGCAACGGTCGAGAAGTCCCAGGTCGGCTTCATCGACTACATCGTCCATCCGCTGTGGGAGACGTGGGCCGACCTAGTGCATCCCGACGCCCAAGACATCCTGGACACCTTAGAGGAGAACCGCGACTGGTACCAGAGCGCCATCCCTCCCAGCCCGCCGGCCGAAGACGTGCCCGATCAGCAACGGCCCGGCATCCGCTTTCAGGTGACCCTCGAAGAGGGCGAAGGCGAAGCCGAGGCGGAGGCTCCGATGTGACGGAGGCTGCTGGGCCTCTGTCGAAAGCTGACCGAGAAGGTGCAGCAGTGGTGGCGCGTTCGGCAGTGAGGATGCGGGCGTCCTCCCCTCTGTCGGCCACCCCGCGCTGGCGCGGCGTTTGTTATGTTTGCATCGCTTTTGACTGAATCTCCGGGCTCGCGCGCAGCCTGTCCCCGCAAGTTCCTGGGAGTGTACATTATGTTTAAGTCATTACTCGTTCTTTCTTTCCTGTTTTTTTTTTGTTTTCCTTTCCTTTTATTTTTCGTTTCTTTCTGCCTTTCCACGACCCTCGTCATGCCTTACGTAGGAAGACACAGCCCCTACTGATTATACATCTGTATATATTTCATAATGTCTGTCGGTGTAATACTCAGCCCCATCTATGTATAGGTACTATGTGTCATGTCAGCTATGTTACACAAAAGTAAAGCTCTCTCCATTTTAAAAGGTCTTTCATTTCATCCACGAATAAAACAACCACTCAACAAATATTTACTATATTCATTAAAAAAAAAATATATAAAATATACTTAACGCTAGCGTACAAAAAGTCGATAACTTAATCAACGATACACACACATACATCTTAAGTGGACGACGTGACGATGGGTGCGAATTCGTTAGTAAATTTGATCAAAAACTATAAACAACACAATATAAAAACGATGAGACTAAATAAAATGGACGGACCAATTGTCACAATTATGAGAATAACACTAATTAGTGCAAATTATACAACAGTTCAAGGCGATCGAAGGCCACTCGTTAAAACATTATTAATTCTGGAATGACATTAATTTGAGAGTAAAAAAAAACAAAACAAAAACTCGGAGCGATATCCACATTATGTTAAGTCATGTCAGCGTCACGAAAGGAAGGAAGATGCTATACATTGAAGTAAAGAACCGCGTGCGGACCGAGAACGATACCTCCGCTCTGGTGGTCCGATGTGTAATATAAAATTTTGGTCATCTATTTTATTCTGTTAAACGGTCCTGTAGCGTTGGTAACCTTTCTGCCTACAGCTAGTATGTGGCACCCTTTTAAATCATCTTCCCTCCTCCCCGCGATTTCCTTACATTCAATAGATATCGATTAGTACGGTTAATATCGAAATCTCGTTTCACATGTGCTGATTCGAGACAGTTTGACGACGTTAATTCGACTATCTTACGAAATGTAAAACACCACACACACCGAATAAAACAATTCCCAAAGGTTTAGTTACAACGGTCGAAACCCCTGTCAAAAAACCAAACGTGAAAACCTGGATGACGTTTTCGGATGCGAGCCACGGATTACTGCCGTCGTCAAAGAACATAGGACACTGGTCACCTAGTCACAAACGTTACATTATTTCCTTAAATAATTAGCACATTGTGCGATAACTCACGTTCTCTCTCGTATTCCTGCATGTCGATAGCGACCCCAGCGCCTTCTGTGTGATTCCAGGAAGTCACATCTTGCTTTAAGTCACAAAAAGGACCGATAGCTATAAAACACAATTTTGATAATTGTCACAGAAACGACGACTAGGACAAACCTTGTGACATTAAGATACGGTTCAAATCTGCTCGTTGGTATACCCAACACCTGTACTTCGAGTACGGATCGAGGTCGTCGTACGTAATTAGGTAAGACTTTAAATTCTCTTTCCAGAAACCTATGCATTTCATTTTGTAGTCAGGATCGCTGTAGATGTCGACCGGTCGCCCTAAATGATCAACCGAAAGACAATAATTTTCGTCGATCGCTATTTCTTTTTGTTCCGTGTCGCACACCGAAAAATCGGATATATTTTGCTTACAATAAGTATTGGGACGGGGACTCAAAGTAACGCCACCCAATATACTGCAAAAATGCAGGTAAGTATACGCACATATACAGTAAACGGATCATTTACCGAGTTTCGAAAGGTACCTCCCCCTTTTGCGTAAAGTTGAATTTACCAGCAACCGGGCACCGAATCGGCACCGGATTTTTCTTCAAGTATAGATCGTATTTCCACTGCGCTTTGTTTTGGAATTGTACCCACGAACACACGGTGCTGAAGTGATCCTTAATTACGGCTATCCCTTTCCTATAGCGGATTATGTTGTGGTGTTGCGGAACGAAATCGAAACAGACGTAGTCTTTTTGGCTGAAATTTTCTCATTGAATAACGACCGTCAGTCACCAGTTCAATCATTATTTATCCTATTTATCCCCTCCACTTACCACCCGTCCACGGTCAAACGGGCCATCATAACTCTCGTATCCCTTTGTTCCCTACACACGTAAATCGTCCTGCGGAACCGCCCTTCGTCCGGATAATACGTTTCAATAATGTGTGTTTCATTAATCACAATGTCTGCATCAATGTTGGCAGTATTGATCCACTCGCCTGTGAAGTTTTGAGGCAAGCGACAGCCGGGCTCTACGGCTTCACTCTTAACTATTAAAAAAATAATAATAAGCATCAATCAATCAAAGCAACTTGAACAAAATAATTACTTGGCCAAATGTGCAATCTCTCGGGGCTCTGTTCCACAGTTTTCAACGTATTGCATTCTGCCGTAATGGAAACGCCTATGTAGAGATCATCGTCGCGATTTTTCAAAAAACAACGATATTTTTCGTCGTCCCGCGACTCCTTCGTGTTGGCGACCGCGAAATAATGATTTTTGCCGACAAACCAAGCACCCAGACAGCTATACTCAACAACTGAAATTGTGTCCATTAAATTACTACATATAAATATATGGATGAGTAATATTAATACCGCCATCGAAAGTTTCAGCCATCCCTTGACATTTCTTATATGTGATATTGAACTTTTGATTCGAGATCAGAAACTGTGAGCCTGCTGTTTGACAAGACCTAATTTGTGCATCTGGATTACTACATTCACCGGTAAATTTGAAGCGGTTCTGATAAGCAAAATTCCAGACTCCCTCGAGTGACGACCGACAATTAACTGGGACGTAATTTTCCGAAAATAAGGTGACTATTTGTTGACTACTGTCCAAGTTGCGACAAACACGTTCAACAGTTGCGGCATAGTCAGGCACATTTATACATGGAGCTGCAATTATGATAATTACCACTTTGATAGCAAAAACTGTTTTATATTGTATCATGACTCACTTTCTATCTTCTCGAGTACATTAAATGTCCGTACGATGATTTTCACGCAGTAATAACACTTGTGGTTCTTAAAAACCATGGTATAATTCACATGAAACCTGTCTCGAATGTCCACACATTCTCCTCGATCTGTCATGAATTTGTCGTTAATATCCACATGATTATTGACGTTGTTCTCCCTAGAGAACCATTTTCCCCTCACAATTATTGGAATTGTGCAGTTAGCATCGACCACGGGAGCTACAGAAGCGAATTTAAGAAAACAACAACGTAAACATAACCTCAAAGTTTTGCAACAAGTTTATCGATGCGATTAAATAAGAATTTATAAGGTACTTACGATCAAGTGATAACAGAAACAAAGATAAAAGGACGGATTTGCAAATTAATATCAACATTTTTATCACAGTATAATGTGATTACGAAGTCTCGGGCTGGCACGCCCATAGAATACCCTCCCTTAGAACACGGTCTCTAATACTTGCGTTTTGTTCACTAAGAGCGCCTCTAGCACCAGGCTTAGGAACTAAAAGCGGCGCAAAATTTGAAAGTGAATTTTGCTGGTGAATTTTTTTATAAAGTGAAGGGGAAAACATTGTTTGTGAATTTTTATATGCTAGTTTCAAAACGCCTTAATACGTTTTGAGACTAACATACAAAAACACACAAACAGTTTAAAAAAATGATACATGTAAGATAGAATACATAGTATATTGAAACGTAAAAGTGATTTATAAATGAAAATATTACTATATAACAATAACAGTTCTTACGAAAATATATAGTATAATATATAAATATATATTTATAATATAATATTAGAAAAATAGCAAAAGCCAACGAAAAGCGCATAATACAATAACATTTCAGGTATGAAATGTTTAAAATTGATTTATAAATGAAAATACTGCAATATAACAACAATTTGCTAAAAATGACAGTGTGAATAAAGTGTTCTCTAATAACTTACATTAGTTACAATATATTAAAATAAGAAAAGAAACAGAATATGGACAAGACATTTTTAAAATACAAACAACCAGTAGAAATGCAAACTGCCTTTGCACTTTTCATTCATACCGTCAGAAATATCACAATTAAACCCAGCACACTACTTTCTTCCGATATGAACAAAACTAAGCTGATGTATAGCCTGCGAAATGCAAAATTATACAAACGTTCTCTTTCTTTTTTTAAAACGTAAATATAATTGTTGCATTTGTCTTTCCAGTGAAGTTGATTTGTTAGGCTCTTCCTTACCAAATACGAAATTGCTGAGTTTTTTCATGTATCTAAAGATATACACTCTTATAAATAGATGAAAAAGTTGAGCTTTCAGTTCTTCGGTATGTAAGCACTCCCGAAAATCAAAATCAACTGTAATTCGCAGGTGGCTTATTAACCTTTGAGAAAGAGAAGGATGATAAATTGCAGACGGAACCAAAATGACGAGATGATTATAAATCTTAATTAGAGTTTTAATCATCTCGACATTCGCGTATTGCAACCGTCTTTTTTCACCATCATACTCCTTCTGCACCACCAGACCATGATATTGAATGTTTGGGACGCCATCATGTATCAAGTTAAATCGACAGATTTCACAGTCAAGTGGTTTTGGCATGTGTTTAACTAGAAATCCGCCAATATAACCTATAACATTTTGGTCATAAAAATTATCCTCAGACACAGTATCAGGAACTGGTGGCGGCTTCCACTGATCTTCGATACACTTACGATTTATATCAAGACTAAGAAACTCTCTAATTGAGACCACAAATGACTCGTCATCTTGCTCACAATTAGATCCACGAGAATGATAGGAGCAAAAATTCTTCATCATTAGTGATTTATAAAATGGTACGAATGCTTTGCAAGACGGATTTGTATATCGTACTCCATATTGTCTTAATTGACCAAAAAAATTTTCTAAAGGATCTTGATTAAAAGCTCTTGCTGGGAAAGAGTTATAACCAAGTTTCTTTAGAGTTTCCTTGATAAGCATAAAACCATTTAAAGTACGATACCACCCTTGCAAAACTGGAGGTTTTGCTCGATCTCCAGATTTACGTGGTTCAAATCTCATATTGCTGAACATGCGTTTCCCTTCCAGCCAAAAACTATGATGAAGAGTGTCATCTCCTACCATTTGACGTAATTTCTTACCACCACAGTCTCCAAATCCTCCATTAACGCTGTCAAAGACAGAATCCATGAACAAAAACAAATTGCAAGTGTATCGAGCATCAGGTGGTATGCTTCCCCCTAATGCCCCGGTGGAACAGAGATATATGAACTTAGCAACAGTTGAGCTAAAGACCTGTGAAGCATAACGAACTTTCATTTTTTTGCCTCTTAAGTTAGGCTTCACATGGTCTATGGTGATCTTTGTCATCACTCTCAGGGTGTCACCCTCCGTATGATCCAAATCATATGCCTTTTCAAAAAAACTCCAAGAAGCTCTTCTCTCTACACCTGATTTTTCTACATAAAGCAGATCTTTGGTGAGAAGATTGTTTCGCATACTTTTTAGAAGATGAGGAGGATCAAAGAGAGGGATAACTTCGTGATCACCAATTCTTATCACATTCTCTTCAACTTCCTCTTCATTTCCCAAAATAGCACGTCGTTTGGTTTCTTGTAAAAGCATATTGATTGCGGCACTGTTTGTAGTACCTTGATCACAAACTGAAGCAATGATGTTTAAGCCGACCGCTGTTGCTTCTTTCACAATCTCTTTATAAAAACGGACAATGTTTGCAGCAGACATAGAGTTTTTGCAAAAAGCAAAAGCAACAGGCTGCTTGCACCTTTTGAAAATTCCTCTTAGCATAAATACGCAAACATGGTCTGCAATTTTTTCCGACCTTGTTGTACCGTCATCTTCAAAACCCACAACTCTGTCCTCACAAGGCAAGTAGTCGAGGTGAGGCTGAATGGACATTTCATCAAAGATGAGAGTACATAAATTGTACTTACTGTCCATTCTGCGACATACTTGCTTTCTGAGAACTTCGAAAATGGGTTTGTTGATACCCGGTTCTATTGGAACTTTATTTAGGGTTGCCCTCAGAGTGTCAATAGACGGCAGCGTAAACATTCTTGACAGAAGTTTATACGTTTTTGGGCCATGTTTCCAAATGGCAATGGCATCTACCTTCTCCTCAAACGTAAAACTTCTGCCTTTCGGTTTACGATTTACATTTCTAATCTGGCTGTTAAAAAATCTCTGCTGTAGGGGAGACAACCCTTCCACGAGATGAACCAGTTGTCGATCTCGCAGAAGTTGTTTAACAGAATGAAGTGCGCTTTTGCGCTTTTGTGCCTGCCTCTGCAGTCTCCCCACTTGCCTTTGCAGGCGTTTCGCCTCCACGTACAGCAGGGTTTCATTGCTGCTAAAATTGACGGTGGTCCCTTTGATCCCCAGCCGATCTAATATTTTTCCTGTAATGTACACGAATATGAATTAATTTCATCATTTTTAGTCTGTATATCAAAATACATACGTGGAGTCTTGGTCATGGACTTGGAAGTATCCACCGACTGCCTGGCAGGTACAAAGTTTCCAGCAAAATCTAAAAATGGGCAATATAAATTAATTATAAGTTAACTTAATAGTATACGAGTTGTGAAAAGACTTTTCTATGGAGGCGCGTATAATATATTTTGTTTTAATGAATTTGAGGTTGCTATGCAGTAAAAGAATTATTACTGTACGGTTTGAAGGCGGATGCGAACTAATTTCATCATTTTTACTATAAAAATTAATAAAACACATACCTAAAATGTTTTATTTTATTTTTATTATATTTATTATTGGTAAATTTACCAATGTAAATATAATAAAATATTTTTTTGTCAATACAAAAACATTACAATCTCAAGTCGAAACAAAAAGGTGTTTCACCAGCCGAAGTTACGCCACTGCTTTTTTACCTGCTTTGACAGGTGTTGGCGATTAATGAACATATGACATATACGCACAGAAAAGCGAAGTGACGCCACGCTGCGGTACAAAAATGTTGTTTTATAAACAAATGATGAAGTTTTGCAATCCACCACAGTTTTATATTTTATCATTTGTAAAACATGGGGTCAAACATTACAGTTTCTTACCTATTTTTGGAATATTTTGTAACCCCGAAGGCCCAGCACCAGGGAGCTCATTGATCCCATCCTCTTCTGTAAGGTAAGTAATATTATTTTCTCTCGATTTATTTAATTTTTTTAGCACTACAATACCTGCTCCAAAATTCAGTTGTCGCACTGGAACGCCAGTACTCCATGCACTTCTACCCCCGAGAGTCTCCAGTTTAGTAGCTAAACCTATAAAGTGGAAAATAGTTAGTGCTATACATACTGAAATAGTTGCAATGGTTACTTACTTTGAGAACTTGGAGTTCGTCTCGTACGTGGAGTTAAATTTGCTATTGCATGAAAGTACGGGCATTCTTTTTCTGGAGTGAGGAAAGTGAGATCAATGGTTTGTGGCCCTACATTGGACACGTCGATCTGATCTGCTTCGAGTGATGAACGCAGTTCGTTATCATCTATAAGTAAAGATATCGTAATATTTGTTTTCTAGCAACTTTCAATTTGTTTACCTCGAGGAGGCAAAATGGTTGGTACTGCAGATCGACGCAGCCTTTGTGTTCCTGGTACATAATCCTCGGGTTGAAAATGCTGGAAACAAATGTACCCCCTTCGGTGAATTTGGTCGTGGGTCAAAACCACGAATTTTGGGTTATTCGCGGCTTTAACCCACGCGAGAAACCGATCAAGGCCCCGATTTGGGTGTGGAAACCTAAAGATGGGTTTCAATCTCGCAGCACATTCGTGTACAGAACATGTATGACTGCCTTGCATTTTTTTCTACAAAAATTGATAATAATAATAATATTGTAAAATCAAACTTACGTACTCACATTTGTAAATTAGACACTGAAATTCAATAAAATAAATTCACAAGTCGTTTCAAACACAAATCACGCAGAAAACCGAGAAAAACGTAAATGAACTGAGTGATTGAATGGTGATTCATTTGGGGTGAAAGTGATGACAAAGGGTAGAAGAGGAGGGGGTGTAAACAAATTTTAAAATTTTGAAAATCTGCGCGAATCAGCTTTTACAGATATCTTTTTATTCCGACCTCTGGCGGCGGGCTCTGAACCACGCAGTGAGAGGATAAGGTGAAGGCTATCTCATTTCAGGACCCCTGGGCACGCCCCTGTCTAAACAGTTGACTAATCGTGACGTTATGAAACGTTTTGTTGGTTGCCTAACTGCGGGTGCGATTCTAACAAAAATTTTCACTGATATATAATAATTATTAATAATAAAAAGAAAGGTCCCAAAGTAGATCACTTTTTTAAAGACGTTATTGCAATCGTAAAAATATTAGTAGAAAAAAAGGAATCAGTATGATAGTAGATTTTATTGTAATAAAACCTGTCTGGAAGCGTGGAATAAACTGAAGTTTATTGCACTGTATACCAATTTTTGATAAGCGAGAACTGTCCGTGCAAATGTTAGCAACGATAAGAAGTAACATTTCATTGTTTTCAGGCTGAGTGAGGTAGATGCATTTCCAAGTATTCATTATTATTATTCAGTAGAAGTTAATTTATACAAGTTCAACGTCATGTTGCATGTCATTCGATCAAGTTCTTACCGTAGTTGGTCATTTTACCTGCGACCTCTTTCGAATCATAGAGCTCATGTTGTAGCTCATGTTACGCCAGCATCATTAACTCACTGCCTTGATCCTTTGAACTGTAAACGCCAACGTTTGCATCGGCCGAGGATTCCATTAGTAACTAATATTCTAATAATTGCTGAAATACCGCCCCCGTAGCTCACTGTAACAATCCTCCGCAATATAAATGTTCACTTTGTACTTAATTCCTTTTGAAGTGCTAACTTAGAGTAAACTTGCAAACAAAAACTTTATCATCATTTAAAGCAACATTTCCACAAAGCCCAGCTTTATGCACGTGATGTATAGTTCTCCCCCCCGCACACCTGCCTCAATAATCGCGAACAAAGCTCGAGCAGGTACTTAAAACTTCAGATTACCCGTGTGCTCCAACTTACTCGAAAATTGCAGTTTAAGTTCTAATTAAAACGAAGAGGAGTTGTCTCTTCGCGACGTTGCGGTAGGTGGGAGATGTTTGGAGATAATCACCTTTTGCGACTCGTTCCCCGGCCGAATCAACGTATACAATCTCATTGTTCCCTCCCGACTCAATTAAGGAGAAGACTCCCTGACGTATAACCCCCATTTTTCCGATGGAATTCCCTAATTAAACGCAAATTTTCATTATGGTCGGTAGGACTGCGAGATCAAAGTTCTTTGTAGGAGAAGCACGCTTGATTTGGTCTTGTGTCATATCTCAGAGGGACTAATGGCCAATTACAAATGCCGGCCTATCGATTTCTCTCGGTCTATTATTAAAAACAAATAAACGCTTTCTAATTCTGGAGCTCTTATTGATTATACGCCAAGTTTAGCTCGTCCGATTTTTGGCTGAAACCCCGAAATTCCATTAGCGATAATTCATAAGTTCGGAACACGTTATGGATGTCGTGAGGGTTGATAATGGCGTAATAAAACGTCCGAAACAGTGGCAATCACGGTAAACATTCTGCGATAACGGCAGGAAACTACATTTCGGTAATGGGGTCCGTGTCACATTGTTGTCACTCACCTCGCGCAAAAAATACAAAAAGGACTTTTCGCGTGCAGTTAAATTAAAAGGCGAGTGCCCGTGACGTTAATTCCTTTTCGGGGGAACGAGCTGGAGGGATCATTGGATGCGAAATTTTCACCAGAAAATTTGAGCAAACGTGAGATTCACAGAAATACGGTTAAGAAAAAAAATGTGTTTTGTATTTTACGAAATGAATTTTAAAGTACCGAATACGAAAACGTTTAGCGTCAACTTTCATCGACGAACTAAAGTGGTAATTGTTAATATCTACAGAAAAGAGAGTTCGATACCGAACGGACGAACCGAATATATTGCGCACAAAACCGGGCGAATATGTACTTAAATACGTCGCCATTAAAGACTATCTTGAGATAACACGAAATTTCACCCATCTAAGTTAATTACTTTTATTAGAAGCAGCGAAACTTGCGACATAATAAATACGTAGGTGGTGTCGTGAAAGTTACTTAAAGGGAGCCTTCACTAATCAAAATGGTGCCTATAGTATGTGAGTAAGTGAAACTTCGTTATTACTTTCGGCTAACTTTACATATAAAGCTGAATACTCCAACAACCCGAAGCTTCACTTAATAAGATTGAAATTATCTGAAATAATAACGCCTCTCCTCGCAACAATTTATTTTTCAACAGTTCGTGTTTAGAAACTTCCCGAGGAAATTATTTTCAGAAAGTCGAACAATAGGTTTCGAGAATTACAAATAAAAGTTTGGTAATTTTGCTTCCGTCGTCACAAAAGAAGGCCGTTTTTAACGATCTGGAATATACATTGTGTTGTCTGAAGTGGTTCCGACACGAAGCGCCTCGTAATTACTGCAAGCAGAAGCGACACATGTAGCATTACTAAATTAAAGCCGTCGAAAGCCGACCCTCCGGATCGTCTGTGTCTTTTTCGGAGCACAATATTCTTCAAGAATGAGCAATAAAACAAAAGCGCACGTGTTACAACACCCCTTTTGACTGAACCGAAAATCCCTCTGAAAACTGAAAAAAGTAAAAACCTGCGTCAATCAACGTCGTAATTTTTCCGTGGCGCTCGATCGAACGAAATTGTTTGGCGCTGCCTGTTTTGAAAAATATGCAAATGGAAGCAGGTTTTCCCTAGCTAAAAGAAAATGTAATTTAACATGACTGTATAAAATGCAAATGTCCCCGGCAAGAGATGCCAGTAATATTGAATTTCCTAGAATAAAATATGTCTTTATTTTGTCCAATGTATGTGCCACAAAGGCGCTCTGAATAGAACGTAAATTATGGAGGCGAACTAATCTAGTTTCCAGCTAGAGATAGTACGTGTCTTATAGTCGCTTGTTTTAAAACTTGAAGGAAATTTTTCACCCGTTAACGTCGACGATGACGTCATCGTTCGGCTGAACTTTGTACACGCGAAGGATGTCAGAGGTGTCTGTTTCCTTCTGCGAGTTTATGGGCTTTTTGCGTTTCCGGCTTTCTGCACTAGAGATTAAATTTTAAAAAAGCCAAAAATTCGGAGTAGAAACTTATAGGCAGCGGAAAATGCAGAAGCTTCAAAACATTGCGCTCGTTAAAAACATCAGAAATATGAACAGAAGTTCTAGAGAAGGCCTTGGAGGGTCAATTTTTTCTTAATTTGTTGATTTTGTTCTTAACGAAATTTGTTCAGTGTTTAGTTGTTCTTAGAACTGCTATAAAACTTCAAAAAACAAAACAAAACAAGAATACAGGTAAGGCGTAAATATAGTAAGATGCGTAATTTATCATAACCAGAAATATAAAACTGTCCAAAGACAAATTGTATATTCTGGGTGGATTTTTTTGGCGCGTTTTGACGTCGTCACTTCTACCAAATTACACATTAATAATTTTAACAACTCAAGTAAAGAAGTTAAAATTTCAAGACTACTATCATACTATCAACTGTATACCGCATGTTTTATTAATTATGACATTAGGACCGACGGACATGAACAACGTCATGTAAGAGTGTTTTTGACAAATTCAAGCGTACTTTTAGTTAGTATAATGCAAACCGTTTATGTCGGAAATTTTGAAAAGATGTCAACGAAGTTGAATACGAGGAGCAATGTTTTCCTTGCTTTCACGAAGTAGACGTCCTTGACAAAGTCGTCCATAATAGCCCCGTCTTCCTTCCCCTTAGAACAATTTATTCCCATAATGAGCCTGTAGTTTCCACTTTTCGCCGCGTAAATAAATTAAACTGGAAATTATCCGTCCCTTTTCTCTTCTCATACCTTGCAATATTGTTCATTTAGAGAAGTCGCTCGTTCCTTCCCTTACGAGACACGGCTCTAACTCAATTAGAAGGAAGGAAACACGACAGGATCTTATTAAAACATCGTTAAAATTTCGCCTAATTAATATCGTCCTACGATGAAACGGTCTTCCTTGACTAGACGGCCCCTTCGGGAATCCATTCTTGTTGCGTACGCGTATCAATGGGTCTCCGATGGCCGTGATTCTCGGTCGGGTAGAGCTTTTACCGCGCGTTCATGCCAGTTCAGTTCTCTGGATGAGCTTACTCTACGCCAACTGCGATCGATTCAGCCTTCCCAGGCCTAGTGCGGCCCTTCAGATGCTGCATTTGTTTCAACTCTGCGTGTAATTGGTAACTACATTGCTCCAGCAACTCGATTTCGGGGAATCCGAAGGGGTTGCTGAGCAACTTGGACCACGACCCACGACGAGACAAAAATCAGTCACCAGCTATAGTTTGTAGGTTACGTGCGCGCCGCGAATGCCCGCAACCAGATGGCGCTCGCCCATTTAAAACCACCATTACCGAAACGATATTTTTTTTGTTCGAAATAAAAATAAGACGGCACTCCTCTTAGAAACATTATTAAGTTTATGGAACAGGGTGAATCTACAAATTAAATTTCCAGACAAAATTCATTTCAAAATCAAATAACTCCAAACTGAGCTTTTACATTACATATCGTAGTTAAGGAAAAAAAAGAGAGTGCTCTAGTTCACATGTGATTTTCCTTCGACTTAACGCAATAATCCCAGCTTAAGCGTCTATCCCCGACGTGCTTAACTCTCTCGCGTGGTTTCCCAACTAAAATTTAACAAACTTTATTATTAGAGCTCGTAACGCCGCTAATTTCTCCCCGTCGTGTTGTAACTCGTGGGAGCCGTCAGAAACAATTCCAATAATTATTTTTTATGGCTCGTGTAGTTAAGAATGGCATCCGTCCGAACTTGGACAGCGACGTCGGAAGTTCGCCGAGTCTATTGTGAGAAAAATGTAAGCTGCGGAGTGGCCTTTTCGAACTCCCATGTCGATATACTTGATTCGAACAAGACTTTCAGCTAATTGCGAGTTTGGAGGACTAGCAAGATTGGGAGGTCGTGGGGTTAGCTATGTAACAGATATCTAAATAATTTAGCGTAGAGGTAAATAAATACATAAATTTGCGTCCGTAATGCGAGTCGAAAGTGAAACGTTGTATATTCATGTCGGTGTTGTAATTTAGGGGGTGGGAGACCGCAGAGAATTACAGTTGCTGCAACTTTGGGCATACGACGGAATTGAAACTTGCAAATGCAATATTCGTAATGAGATAACGTACGAAATACAAAGACTGGGTAAAATAGCGTCAACAAAGTTCTCGGAATGCTATTTTCCAATTTACATTAACGGTAACGCTATAGCTCAATGGGTTTGCTAAAATGATGGAATTTATGCAAATTTTAGAAAAAAAACAAAGATACGTACCTATATGTATAATCGCGCTTAGTTTTCAAGATGCCTGGACAAATTTCCATAGCGCACACTATTTATTCAGAGTCAAACTCGATCGGATTTTCGTGTTTCGAAGTCATAAATTACCCGAAAACGTCTAATTCAGCGACTTCTACTCTCGTGTTCTCCTCTCTAATTCCCGTTCTTGTCCCACTGACTGAAATTAATTGAACCCAGTTATCATTAAGCGAAATAATTATTCCGTCGGTCCGTTGATCTTAATAATTCATCAAAAAGATTACATCCAACGAAGTTGAA